ACAAGAGTAATTTCGGAAAACATCTGAGGCGATAGAATATAAAAACTGTACTCGTACTCTCGTACTATTTTGTGCTGTACTAGATTTGCGCCTTCTGAAGGACAAAATATGTTTTTGAAAGTCAATGTAATCGCAACGGCAGGGTCGGTGAAAGTTGTGCTGAAATCTCTCGAATCATTCTCATTAATGATTCATAATTTCAGTGTTTTTTTAGGCGAATGGATTAAATGGGTCGAATTTCATTTCTTTCTGATTGCTTTGCTACAAGAGTAACTTTCGGAAAACATATGAGGCGATAGAATAAAAAAAAAACTTTACCATTTTACATAAAAAAAAATCTCAGGCATTTTAACACCTGCCATTTGGAGTGAACGAATTCAGTCCCTTTTTGACAGCATAGCTTCATGAATAAATTAGATTCACGCACAAAAACTGTTTTAAGATAAAATCCATGATGTTCGATATATTTTTCGGAATTAGAATTAATTCATTTTTTAATTTCACGGTGGTCATTCTAATCTTACCATATTTATCCATCGTCGTTCGATGATATATTCCAGTTAAGTCATTAATTGTTACAAAGAAAGAGTTCCTGGGATGGATATTTTATTGGTAATAAATCCTTTCTCGCCTTGTACTGAATTTTCCACGATTTGTTCCCAAAGAAGATACTTATTAGGAGCACTTAGTGATAATAGAACAGGTAGAGTATTGTCTAAAATTTTTCATGTAATAAAATGATTTTGGTGATTACGGTGATGGCGTGATTGCAACATATATTGTTATGATCACCCTGCGCAAGATGATATAATGGGCAATGCAGGGGGATCTCATGATATATTCGCACAAAAAAGATACAAAATGAAAGAAAGTGAACTTGCATTATCATCAGCAAGGATTTGACACCTAGACTGTAGTATTCACGTTTTGTATAAAACATTAATTTCTATTGATCGCGTATCGAGAGATAATAGGAGCACTAGCTTGACACGAGCTAGAACTAACGGACTAGAACACTACGTATGATTACATCAAGTATCATTAATAAATCAGTTGTGGCATCGCAGAGAATGACAAGCAACTTTCGAAAATATTACAGCAAGATATTTCTGAGGGTCAAGGAATATTTTGCACGTTAACTTGACTCCCGTAAAAATTACTACCATTAATAAATTCTGTATTGGATTTCGCTCAGGAGAAATCATAACCTTATCATCTCGCTTCTTTGTCGCAATTAAAACGACTTTCGCTTCTCAAGAAGCCGTTAAACAAGCCAATAACAGAATTAATCATAATTTCCTCGATTGTGTCAAGTTAGAAAAAAAACTATTTTCCACCAACTGACGTGCTAAGTTGTTATCGGACAGGGTTATTGAGTATTATCAATTGAGTTGATAACATAAATTTGACACCGTAAAGAGTTTAAAAGCTGATGTTTCGAGTGTTAGCCCTTCGTCAAAGCACTGTTATCGGACAGTTCAATAAGCCAATCACATTCAAAGTTGTAGTTTAAATCAATCAATTATATCAAACAGCTGAACAATTTACGCCTCCTTTGTCAGTCTTTTAATGTAAATTTCTCTTTCCTTCTTAACTTAGCTACTCACTCTTATGACTACAGACCGAATTGGACTCCACTCAGTC